CTATACCAGACATGATGAGACTGTTGACACTAAAGGTTCTTCCTGAGATAAAATAACAGACACAATGACTCTGGCTGCTGTTTCCAATCACTTAAGCAAACAGTAATTTAACTCAAAACTCAGCTTACCTTCCTATACTGTAAACAAAAGTTATTTTTTTTTTTTAAGGAAAAAAAAAAGTCACACTAAAGTTTAAACGTAAACAAATGTAATACAGTAGCGGCTGTACTAACCAGCCTGCATACCTGAGGAAGGATTACAGCAGAGTCAAGGGCAGCACACAATAATTAAGTACGGCCAACATAAACCTTTAAAATAAACATCAACACAAAGATGCCATGTTTTTAAAAAAAGGGAAGTCTTGAACATATGAAAAACAAACACTACAAAAATATATTCTACTATAATCAGTACATGTGTAAAAGATAGAAAAGCATAATTCAAAATGGACTTTTGCTTAAGCTGCTGTTGTTATCTGCCACTCATGTTCTTCTGATGATACAGTATTTATGAAGTACTCTACCCTCAGATATCCATGTTCTAATACATCATGGTCATACTACACCAGCAGAGCGTAAATTAGACACTGTAGAGCCCAACTGATGCAGGAATACGAGCTACACCAATATTTGGTGATATTATTTCCCCTTTCAGACAAATAAAAACAAAGACTTTTCTAACATTTGTCATTTTTTATGAAGACTTACTAGGATAATATTTAAAAATAATTCTGTTTTGTTCCAGTAAGCCATGAATTACTTGTTTAACCCCCACCTTTACTCAGATCAGCTGGCTGTGTTTGTGGGAAATGCAGATACTGATATTGGTGATATCAGTCAGGCTCTAAGAAGCACCTGTTACCAGTCTGGTTAAAACACCTGAAATGGTGTCAAAAGTGATCCATTCACAAAAAAACAAACCAAACCCCTACAGGACCTCATTTTCTGACACATTTTAAGACCTTTCTTGTCAGTTTTTGTAAAAGAAAAAAAAAGAAAAAAAGAAAAAAACATCCTAGCCACACTGAGCTAAAATTTGGCTCCGTCTAACCCAGCTGGCTTAGCTGCCATGAACACAGAAACATAAACTGCAGCTGCTTAACAAAACCCTGCTCTGAACCCAGGTATCACTCTAAAGTGTACGCTGTACAACACGACAGGTCAGTGCAATGTGCCATTTTCCTAATGGCAAGTACACAATCCTACAAAACAGCACCCCAGAAGCTTCAAGTCCAACTTTCCATCATCACAGGACTGAAACTTGAATCTCTTGATGGGATAAACTGCTGGCAGTGACCAAAAAGTTCACAATGTCCTGTCAGTCACGCAACTTTTTTCTTCTTCTGCCTTCCTTTGCCGTACCCTCGTCCGAACCAGCCGCCCTGCACAGATGTGGGTTTCTGCTCCTCGGGGTCATCTGAGCAGTCATTTTGATCATTGGGAGGCGCTACGACCTCACGAGAGTGGCTTTGCACCTCTTCAAGCTGCAGAGGTGTAGCCAGAGTGAAGATGGGATCGTCTGCCCTGATAAAAAAAAAACAGTGAGGAGAACTCAGGGCAGTGAACAATTCGGCTAAATTGTTTTCTTTGTAATTTTTCATCTGTATCTGAATGACAGATTTTATATCAATAAGCCAATATTATTTACATCATCTGTGTTTGATGGGCGTTATCATCCTACCTGTTATATGCAGGAATCTGAAGGTTCAGCTCCTCCATGAGGAGTCTCATGACATCGTCACACTTGCCGTGAATTTTCAACACAGCCAGATCATCTTTTGGTGTCCACTAAAACAAAAACGCCAGTGCATAATGAACCACTGAGCATTCAGAACTTTACCCGCATCTCATCTATTTATCTGCATGTTTTTCACCTATACTGAAAAAAAAATTAAATGTACCTGAAGGTTGACAATGTAGAGTTTGGGCCTTTTGCTTGCTGGTCTGTTCATGCACCACAGAGAAGTGTATTTCTTCAGCACCTGAAAGAGCAAGAGGCAGTACAAAGGGAAACCACTCGTCAAAATAGAGGTTCCTTTAAAAAGTTAATAAAGCCACATAGCTGGAATTTAACTGTCCTACTACTTGTTTTCTGCTTCTTTCACACAGTGTTAAGTCCCTCTGCAAAAACTCTTTAATTTAACCATTTTGCCTGTCTCCTTTTTCTGACCCGGACACATTTTGTTACTTCCCCTTCATCACCTAGACCCCTTTCAGGGGAACGTAACACACAGTAAATGAATAAATGGGTTTTTCCCTCTTCACAAATGGAAATACAGCAATAAATATTTGGGTTTTTTATATTGTACATATATTTAGACTATATTATAAGCTTTAAGGTAAACTTTAACTTATATACTGGTCTACTGCATGAAAACCAGAACCAGGAGGAGTTAGCTGTCCATGTAAACAGTACAATTAAAGTACTGTGTTGTTAAAAATGAAGTCAATATTGCCATTATTACAACTCAAATGTAGTTATAAATTAACTCGCAGTAGTAACTGATAAGTTCTTCATACGTTTTCTCTGCATTTACCTGAAATACAACTGCTAATGAGAGCTGTTGGATAAAGTAAAAAAAATTTTTTTTTAAAAAATCCCTGCAAGTGAAATAAAAGAAAACTGAGTTGGCAGGACAAGGGGAACCCTTTGTCTAAGGAGCTTGGAAAGAAAAGCGTCTGGACTTCTTTAAGTTGCTGGAAGACATTTCACCTCTAATCCGAGAAGCTTCTTCAGTTCTAGGGTTAAATGGTGGAGAGTCCCAGATTTAAGTTGTGTGGGAGTGTGGGAACCCTTCTTTGCATCATAATATGATTTTTAAAAAAACTACTAACTGAATAATAACAGAGGCTGTGACCTTTTGAATGCTCCAGGATCATTAATAACCAGGAGACACTAAAGGTGCACATGACTGAGTTACTGGGGAAATCTACACCGCAGCTCTGCTCTAGTCTGCATGCCAAGTATCGTTTGGCAAGAGGCATCCATCAGAGTATGAATGTGTGTGAATGTTAGACAGAAAGCACTTACAGAGAAAAAGCTTAGACAAAAGTGCTTTTGCGAATGGGTGTGAATGGCTAATGAGACAAGTTGTGTAAAGCACTTTGAGTACTGTGCTAGAGTAGAAAAGCGCTATATAAGAACCATTTTACCATTACTGCAAACCCCCGTGAAACCCTACAGTGTAACCTGACGATGCAGCTCTCTAGAAATGTAACAATGCAGCTCGCAACTACTGTGATCTGTTCACTACCATCAATCCCTCTTTTCTCACCACAGTTTTTGTATGTGGTCTAGCAAAAACTAACCACAACAAAAAGTGGAGACCCAGTAGGGAAAATAGACCCAGCATTTCATTTGTTTCTATTGGCTGGCACAGCATACGTAGGTTACGTCACAGGCTCTTCAAAGATTCCCTGCAGAAGTCCAAATCAGGCCTTGGGGTTTATCGTCACTTTACTGTGGGCTCAAATCTTGTTTGGACTGCTCAGTTTTACGCAAACTCGATGTCTGTTCTTGAGGGCACATGCTGTTTAACTGGTATAAAACTGTACAGTGTATGCAACCTAACCCAGATTACATTTACAGACTCAGACAGCTTTATAAATCCTACCTTCAGACTGGAGCCTAAACAGAGTATAACATCCGCCATCTTGGCAGCTTCTGTTGCTCCCCTCCAGTTGAGAGGCTGCTCGAGGGTCCCACGTTCCCCGAAGTGCACTATGGTGTCTCTCAGTTCGGCGCCACAGTGGCTGCACTTCCGTCCCGTCCCATGGCGGTGTAGTGACGTCCGCTCGGTCACATCAAATAAACGCACGTACTCCCTGACTGGGGAGCAGGACGTGCACACCTACCGACAGAAGGGAAACCCAGCTTTTCAGAGCCGTTTAAACTCTCTGAATAAAGAGTTTGAGGCCAGTAAGAAATGTATTGTAATGTTTATCGATTCATGTTTTACATTTAATCCTGCTGCACACACTTCTAATGTTAGGGCTTCTTCTACTCTTTCAACTTTTAGTGTTCACTCATCCATGCATGCTTTACACTGCTGATGCAATTCACTTCTACATTTCAAATTTCTTTATTCAATTACTCAATTCAGAGACCTTTACTAATCCCAAGCCTGGAAATTTTAAAGGATAAGAGCAGTCAGAGACTGCATAACTTTGCCTGAGGCTGAAAATTCCCTCCACACCATGAATGAATCAAATCCCTGCATCCAGGAAAGATATCTGGATCGGGATTAGTTTGTCATATCTTTCTCAATAACATCACAATGACATCTCACAGCAATTTTGGCCCCTCTCACATTGGTCTGCAATCCTTTTAAAAAAACATATTTACTTAATGTCTGGATCACCTCTAACAGTTAATCACTTAGCCTGAGCTCTTGTAATATTCTCATGCAAATCCCTTCCATTTGCATAAAAATATTTGGTCAGGACTGCACAGACACTAAATGACGAGGCAGCCAGTGATGGGAGCACACAAATGACATTAAACGGACCTATGTGGAGAGTCGAGCAGCAATTTAAGCAGCGTGTGTGATGGCTCTTGAAAGGCAAGATTAACCTCCAGCGCTTTTAAGACGTGATGCACCTGAGAAATATTTTTTGATGCGAAACAAACACGTCTGGATCTGTAGGGGATTAGGCTTAGATGCTGTTTTTAGAAACATCTCAGCAAATTCTTTCCAGGCTTTCTACAAAGTCTAAGAACTGAGGATGCGTGGTTCTTACTTCAATAAACATGTTTCCATGGAGTTCAGAGAGGGTGTGTCTGGGCAGACCGCTACGCAGGTGGAGTCCATCGCAGTTCTGAGACACAACGTGCTTAACCTTTACACAGAGCAAACAAAGACAGAACATGAAGCACTGCCTTTAAATGTGATGCGAGCAGAGATGCTACAAGGAGGAGACGCAGCACCTGGGTAAACTGAGGTAATATTCTGTAACGCTAAAGATGGACGCTGTCCTGTCCTTATCAATGCCAGACCAGGAAACACAAATAGCCAATTATGTTTCAGGTGTGTGTCACATCTGCTTGTTATCATAGTAAAATTCTGGTAAATGTAGCTATTGTTTTTCTTGGCTAACCTTATTAAAATCCTTCTAGAATAAGTTGTCATTTTTGGAACATCCTGGAAGTTATTTTGAAGCTTCTGTCGGAATAACTGGAAAAAGTAAATAACGTTTTTAACTTGAAGCTTTTTTTTTTTAATTATTGGATTTAACGGATGAGTCTTTAGATGCTGTTTTTATGTCGCAGTAACCATTGAAACTGAAGTTACAAATCTCTAATCACTCATTTAAATGGAAATTCAAATATGTTTTTGGACTTTGGTGTGACATACCAGCTTTTCCTTATGAAGCATCTTAATGCACATGTGCGTGAGCGTCGGCTCCGCTTTACTCAGGTCTGACGAGCTGTTTGTAAAGAAACGCAGAGATAAATCAAACAGAACGCACTAGGGGAGAGTAATACATGTATTTCATACCACAGTAAAGACTCTGTATCTCACCTAATGGCCCGACCCTTCTGTAGCTGCGTCCATACCCCGTTAGGGCCCCTGTAGTCAGGGATAGAAGCTGCCTGAAATTACAGACGACGTCAGTTTTGTGAAAGTTTAAAAAAAGAAAAGTAAGGCGAAAATGAAGAGGAAGAGTTTAAGATACCGTGCTGATACCGGCTCCGGTGTAAACCACCAGGTGACTGGCTTGTTTGACTGCCACAGCGAGCTGCCTGACTTTATTTTTCAGCTCATCAACACCATCAAATACCTGAAAAAGACATCAGAGCTGTACTGAAGACCATTAGAGCTTCAAAAATAATCAGAAATAGACTGTTTGCCTGGAGAGTGGGTCAGGGAGTGACGGTGACGATGGTTTGCATCTGATTTTTTTAAACCATGACAAAATAATGTAAAATGATCACTGAAGGGAGGAAGTCCAAGCAAAAGAAGCAGTTTTATTTTTTAAAATCATGCAGTAAACTACTGTACGTTTCACTCTGAAGCCTCGCTGCCCTCTCACAGCAGAGAGAGCTAGACGCCGTCACAACAGCAGGAGGACTCTGTCACCCAACCATGATCTTTAATGAAACTTTTTTTAATCACCACAAATACTTCTAAGAGAGGAGGTTTTCTACCTTCTACCTTGCTTTAGCCTACTAGGAATAACCCTTGAAGCTCTTTTCTGAACGAAGTGGTTTTTACCATATTTCAGACCTGCTTATAGAACAAAATGACTGGGTTTTCATCAGAAATGGGTGAGGGTGGACTCTACCTATGCAGCTGACCTTCATAAACTATTCTAGTGGTTGTCAAACTCAAACCAGAGTATATTGGTACTGCGGTGTCAATACATGTCATTAAGGGTACAGAGGATCTTGTCAAATGTCGTCTTTAGGGGGGAAAGAGTTAAACCACGTTTGGTGCAGCTCCTCAGTTCATACTTTGGCTACGTCTAGGATTACAAACCAACAAAAATAGCTGCTAACATTTTTTCTGGGCTCTTTGAGAGATACTGCTTCTGGGTGTATGTGTGCGTGTGTTAACTCTTATTGAGTTAACACACGCACACATGGGTAGATGTTGAGCCCTCATACTGCTCCTCCATGAGCAGTCCATTAGGACCCGAGTGGTAGCTCAGGAGGCCAATGGTTCAATCTCTGGCTCCTCCAGTCTGCATTTTGACTTATCCATGGGTACTGAAGCTCGAATTGAGCCTGCTGCATCCATCAGAGTGTGAGTGTATGTGTGAAAAGTGTAAAAAGGTGCTTAGGTGTAAGAAATTAATGTGTGTGATTGGGCAAGTGAAGCTTTTAGTGCCCACTTAGAGCAGAACAGCACTATATGAGTACCAGTGCATTTACCAGAATGGTTTTAGTCCTTTTGTATTTATTACAGTTTGTGCACAAAGAGCGACTACCATTCAACCTCTCTGAGTCTTCACACAATCAACCCAGAAACCTGCTGCCTCCACTTCTGTTCTGAAGTTGTCCCACTAGCTGACAAACCAACCTTAGCAGGCCAGATCCAGCCTCTCTGGGCCGGAGTCTCACCTCTTCCTGCTTCCTCTTGAGCACATTTCTGCGGACTTGTCTCTTGCAGAGCTCCTCCACAGTGTCTCTGTGCAGCAGCAGAGCAGCGGCCTCCTCCTCTGACCGCTGAGACTCCGGTTTTTTCAGGACCCGCCCGACCTGCGGGAGGACAGAGGGACCGGGTAAGCCTCACAATGGACACAGCAAACATGAGCTAGTCTAGCCTGCTAGCTGTAAATGTGCATGTTTTCCCCCTCTCACCAGTCTGAAGACCTCCCTCTCGCTCTCCCGCTGTAGTATTTTAGCCTTACTCAAAGCTTTCCTTTGAGTCCGAGAAGAAACACCGGCGTCCTGCTCTTCCGCCATCCTGTTTTCAATCAGCTGACGAGAAGACGTTTATTCAAAACAAAGCTCATAGCACCAGACACAGCCGGAAGCGGAAGTTGAAAAAGAAATCAGGCGGGCGCCGGGAACACCGCCCCCTGCTGGTGGGAGTCTGTACTTTCCCTCAATTTCACACGTCACATCAACAACTCGGTGTAAATAAGTTTATTATTATCAAACACGAACAAATAAATAACATTTAAAACAAATCAAAAATCCACAACAATACAAAATTTGCAAAAGGTTTTAGCTACAAATATTTAAGGCAACACGAAGAGTAACACTTCAAGTATCAGCCATCGATATGAAGACGAACAAAATACTACTCATATCACACAAGCAGGGTTTAATATGTGTGAATACAAGAGGTGGTGAATCATGAAGGTGATGAATGAACAGGTGTGTTTCAGCTGGGTGTCCTAATGCACCTCTTTTCCACCCACACAGAGCTTCCAGAGAACCGGCCCACCTCTCAACTGGTTTTAGTGGTGATTATGCTGAGTTGCGAGAAGTTAAGAGCTACTGTGGGAAGAAAAATGATGACAGAGAGAATCTGAGGACTGCCTCTGCTGGTTGTTGTGATAGTCCTTCTCATGGTCACTGACCTGAGTGCCTAAAACACCGTGCCTGGGATCTCTGAAGCGTAGTGCTGGCCTCAGCTTTTGTCACTTGGGACTAGTCTGCACTACACTGGGCACCAGCATTGTCTTTGTGGAAAAGGGGAAATACTGTTTTTTCCACAAAAGACAAAGATTTATAACAGCAGCAGGAAAAACACAAGCAATGCTTATTTCCCATTAAATGTAACAGTGAGCCATACAGCACAGCACATACAAGGGTGCTTTTCCAAAGTGTCTGCTCTGAAAAAGCTTATCTACCATATGTTTACTTCCTAACATCATCAAGTGGATCTATTATAATTTTTCTCGTTTTCTGTCATAAATACTGTGGCACAGACAAAAGTTAAGGCTTCACACTGCTCTAACTGTTTTATCTACGCTTGGCTTTAAAAGAATGGTAATATCCCTAATATGGTCTTCTCAGGCACAGAAGCCCCACCCACTTTCTGCTTGAAACCTGTTTTATGAGGGGCAGCCAATCAGGAGAAAGTTGACTAAAACAGCTCATTTCAGCTAGTGAACGAGAGCGAGGTGCTACGCCAAGATGTAGTATCAGATAATAAGGAAAACCTTTAACTGTTAATCATGCAAAGCCATGCTGGTAGAGTCAAACAGCAAAAAAAGGAACTGGAAATAAGCAGAACAAAACTCCAAGCTATGTTTCAAATCTGAGAGTAAGATTGAAGTATATTTTATTCTGTTTCATAGATGTTTATAAAGCTTATGCAGGCAAAGAGCTGCCAATGTCAGCAAACGTGAAACAAGCTGCTGTGTATCTATTAGATCGCCAACTTTGAGGCATGTGACAGCAGTCACACTTTAAGAATATGTTTCAGGATCTGTGGTCCTGAAATTGCAGTCAAAGTGGTCACAAAGTTAACAAAAGAGGAGCTAAAGTATCTTATTTCAGACAATGGATGGACTGAGGAGCTGCACCAAGCCTCAGCAAAAGACAAATAAGGATATCTGCTACCTGTGAATCATGCAAAGCCACTCTAGTGGAGTTCATGAATAAAAATATTAGGCTGGAAATAAGCACAATTGGTCACCTTTAAACAAAGCGATTGCCTATCTGAAGACTACAATGCACAACCTACTAAAGAGTATTTGTTCCCAACACAAATCTAATATTTGACCCCAAATTTATGAACTGCTGTCTTCCTCTAGTACCCAAAGGAACAGAGAGATGATCAATACTGTTCACTGTAGCTGTCAGAACGTCTGCTGTGAGTCTATAAATCTTTCAGGTGCTGTGAACAACCCTTTAAAGTTGCTGCCAAACGATTTTTTCTGTCAACTCAACATTTTCGCACAAATATCTTCAACATGAATAATCTGAAGATGGCAAAAAAAATTAAATAAATAAATAAATTAAAAAATGCCGGAAGCAGACGTGACATAGCCGCTCCTCTGTAGACACCATGGTGTCAAAAATGTTCTCAAAGCCCCCGAGATGAAATACAATGACATGCATTAGTCATCCATTTGAATCAAATTTGGTTTTTGGATTTGGAAACTCTCAAATGATTAGTAATACTCTATTCATGTAATCACTAGAGGGCTCGTTAGGAGTTCTCACTGGGGCCAATTAGGAAGGTGTCATTGGGGTCTAGAGGAGGAAGCGCTCTTGGGGACCCTCTGAGGATTTGCTCTGAAATGTCCTCGTTTGGTTTCTGGCAGGGGCTCAGCAGAGAATCCAGACTTTTGTGCTGTCCTCGTCATAACCCCGCGGTGCCTTCCTGCAGCCTTTCTTTGGATCCTGAAACAAAGACAAGTTTTAGAGCTGACAAAGACATGAAGAAGAAAGTTTTTTCTTTCTGTGGTGCAGGATTTTCAATTCATCACACAATTAAAGGAACTGCTGCATTTTTACCTTGCAATAAAAAGCCACTCCAGTGGTTCTTATGTTACTTGTAATGACTGGGTTTGGTTTGTGAAGAAAACAGAAAAACAGCAACGATGCAGGAAAAACTCACATCATTCCTCTTTTCCTCTCCAGCGACTTCTGTGTTGCAGCTGACAGAAAGCTCTTTCCTCTGGGGCGGCCAGTCTGTGAACCCTAAACACACAAGCGCGCGCACACACACACACACA